TTGTCTGCCGAGCGCCGTGAGCAGGTGCATTGTCTTGGTGGAAGCGAATGCATTGATGGAACTTTCCAGAGCGTTTTTCTGATATCTTTTTAGACAGTTTTCTCAAAACGCATTTCTTGCTCTCGAGGAAGTCAACCAGCAATATCCCCAATGCATCCCAGGAAACAGTGGCTGTAATCATTGTTATTATTTTTTTATCGCTGTCTCTTCATTATAATTGTCACTGTTTTGTTATAATTGCTTATAATAATTTTTATTGTTTTTATTTTTGTCAGTATCATCATTCTCATTTTTCTGTTATAATTATATATCTATTATTGGTATTGTTTGCATCTCCGCCGTTATTATCATTATTACTACCATTGCTTTTATTGTAACGATCTCGACCGTCGTTACAATGCGCAACGAACCGAATGCGCTCGTTGACGGGGTTAAGACCTGTTGGTAAGTCCTTTTTACATTGGAATGGTAGCGTGGGAAAATTTGAGGTCAGATGGGAAAGTCGACTTAATCATTTATAATGAAACGGTTTGTTATATTTGGACGTTTTTAAAAGAAAGGCAGGCATTGCTTCGAAGGATCGTTAAAATAAAATCCACACAGGATAGAAGAAATATACTCCTTTATTAAGTTAAACCCCATAGGTGTGCAATACTGCAGAACCTCTGCTGTCGCCAAGCTTCCCCCGACCTTGCCTGTGCCTGAGGCTGCTACGGAATTCCAGGCGAACGATCTCGGGCGGTAGTTAAGAGGGTAAAGTGATGGGAGAAGAGGTCGTTTGTCGGGTCAACGCTGTGATATCTTTTTAACTGCCGTCTGTTTCGGTACATTATGATTCATTATATACTGCGTTTATATTTCAGAAATATCACTGTTATGAGTACTAATATCACTTCGCTATCAGCATTATGAGTAATAGCTTCATTCTCTTTATTTGCGTCATTTACTTGTTAGTATTATTATAGTACATTAAATATTTTTAAGAGTCAAATAACTGTTACAATCATAAATTTATTATCATCGTCTTTATTATCTTCATCAATTTTCTTCGACGGGATTGACTATGACCCTCCACACCATTAACAATATGTATGTGCTTCTACCTTCTATCTTTTTCTGCACATTTATCCTCAATAACACTCTGTCTTCTGACTACTATTTAATATTCAATGAAGAACCAAGTGAATTGAATGTCAATAAATTATTTGTTTCCTCTTTGCAGGCAGATAAGAATTCGTGCTTAGACTTGGATCGTCAGAGGAAGACTGGCAGTCGAGATGGGCGGGTGTGTGGCCTTCCTGTGGGCGTGCTTGGCGGTTCTGTGGGCGTCGTCTTTCCCCGCCCACACCGCCTTGCCCTTCGTCACCTTCAGGAGATTTGAAGGAAGACAAGTCATGACTAACATCATCTCTGAAATAAGTTTTCCGAAGGTAATACAAAAACTTATCTTATCAATTACTTAATGATGATAATAATAATGATAATAATAATAATAATAATAATAATGATTATTATTATAATGATTATTATTATCATTTCATTTACCCTGTCTTTTTTCCTTTTCTTCTTCTTGTTTTTTCTTATCATCTTCCTTTTCCTTTTTCTTTTCTTTTTTTCTTATATGTAACTTAGTTCTTCGTTCTTCTATTTATATTTCTTTCTTTTTTTCTATCTCTTTCCTTTACATATTCTTGTCTCTTTCTTGTTCTTTGTCTCTCCTTCTTCAGTAGTTATCGTTGCCTCTTCTTTCTTCGTTTTTGGACTTTCCCCTTGTTTTTTTTTTCTTGTGGTTCTTCTTTGTTATCCTTATTATTATTTTTATCTTTGTTGTTGTTATTATTAGAATCATTATTACTATAACTACTACTATTATGATATGTTTGTTGTTACTGTTATTATTATTATCATCATTATTTTGAATATCATCATCATTATCATTATTATTATTATTATCGTTATCGTTATCATCATCATCATCATCATTATTATTATCATTATCATCATTATCATCATTATTATCATTATCATCATTATTATCATTATCACCTCTATCACTATCATTATCGACATCATTATTGTTATTATTATCATTATTATCATTATTACTAATATTACTATTGTTATCTTGTTATTATCATTATTAGCACTGTCATCAACATTATCATTATTTTCACTATTATATTAACCTTGTCACTGTTATTATCATTTTTATAGTTATTATTTTATTATCTATTACTATTGTTGTTATTATTATCATTATTACTATTGTTATTATTATTATTATTATCATTATTATTATCATTATTATTATTATTTTCATTAATACCTTTTTTATAATTTTCAGTATTATCATTGTTATTATTATTATTGTTATTGTTATTATCATTGTTACTATTATTATTGTTATTGTTATTATCATTATTATTACTCTCATTATCATTATTCTTTTCACCACTATCACTATCATTATCGACATCATTATTGTTATTATTATCATTATTACTATTGTTATCTTGTTATTATCATTATTACTATTGTTATTATTATCATTATTACTATTGTTATTATTATCATTATCACCTCTATCACTATCATTATCGACATCATTATTGTTATTATTATCATTATCATCATTATTATCATTATTACTAATATTACTATTGCTATTACTATCTTTATCATCATTATCATCATTATCATCATTATTATCATTATTACTAATATTACTATTGTTATTATTATCATTATTACTAATATTACTATTGTTATTATTATCATTATTACTATAACTACTACTATTATGATATGTTTGTTGTTACTGTTATTATTATTATCATTATCATCATTATTATCATTATCACCTCTATCACTATCATTATCGACATCATTATTGTTATTATTATCATTATCACCTCTATCACTATCATTATCGACATCATTATTGTTATTATTATTATTATCATTATCACCTCTATCACTATCATTATCGACATCATTATTGTTATTATTATTATCATTATCATTATCATCATTATTATCATTATTACTAATATTACTATTGTTATCTTGTTATTATCATTATTATTATTATTATCATTATTACTATTGTTATCTTGTTATTATCATTATTACTAATATTACTATTGTTATTATTATCATTATCACCTCTATCACTATCATTATCGACATCATTATTGTTATTATTATTATTATTATTATCATTATTACTATAACTACTACTGTTAATGATATTTTGTAGAAAATTTATGGAATGCCTCGTGTGCACATCCTTTCCCTGATGTCATCACGCCAGATACTCCCTAAATCATGCTTTTATGTAAAATATTGATATAGCAGCAGACTGTTTAGATAAGACGAACTTTCACAGTCACAGGTAGATATTTTCAACAGATCAACGAGAAGTCAGAACTCCATTTTCAGGGGCTGGTCGACTCATACGTGGCTTAGCTCGGGTACGAAAACCATCTAAGCCAGCGGAGGGTAAACCGAAACAAATGCAAATGAATAATAATAAAACAGAAAGAAGGGGAGAGAGAGGGCCGAGTGGGAGAGGAGAGGACACTGGGAAATCCAGTTGCCGTTCTACCTTCGACGCCGGTATTTCGTGCTGGCTGAGATCTTCCCCGACGCCAAGGAGCAGTGGGCTTGTGGCGTTTGACAGTCATCAGCAAATAAGTCTGCACTAACTGCACTAACCGAATTTGACAATACTGGAATTCGGTAGTACTTGCTTATTAATCTATTTAACTATTTATCTAAATATATATATATATACATATATACATATATATCCCTCTCTATCTATCCATATATCTATATATGAATATACATACACATATACATACATACATATACATATATATATATATATATATATATATATATATATATATATATATATATATATATATATGTGTGTGTGTGTGTTTGTGTGTGTGTGTGTGTGTGTGTGTGTGTGTGTGTGTGTGTGTGTGTGTGTGTGTGTGTGTGTGTGTGTGTGATAAATAAACCAATAGTAATAAGGAACAATAACATATACAGAGAAGAATGAACATAAAGAAAATAACATTGACCCCCCCCCCCCGCTTCCTTCCTCCGCCCTTGCAGTCCCCTCGCAAATGCTGGTTGGAGTGCTCTGCCTTCTGCCACAGCACGCCGGGCTGTCTCAGCTTCAACCTTGGCAATTCACCGCCGTTCCTTTGCCAGCTGCTGCGTCTCAAGGAGGGCGACACTGTAGTCACCAACACGGACTTTGCCCAGTTCATCTCCACCAGTGGTAAGTGCTAATCAGCGCGATTTCCTCTACGACGAAAGCATTTGATTTCTCAAGATGATCTGTCATTTTCTCGCCGTGAGATCGGGCTCAACCCAGCAGTCACAGCATAACTCCAGTGGTTTAGCCACTGGACTACTGGTGCATCTATATGAATGTATATATATATATATATATATATATATATATATATATATATATATATACATACATATATATGTATATATATATATATATATATATATATATATATATATATATATATATATATATATATATATATACATATACATACATATATATATGCACATATATAACCCAGTCTCTCACTGTTTGGTAACAGTAACACAACACTATTACTATTGCTCTGATAGCCGGGGCATTTCCATGCCAGTGACCCTGGAAGGTTTGCACAATTTCCCTTACATTCCTTCGTGAATGTAACACGAGTACGACCGGGCCATACAAGCCCCAAATGCCTTGCAATGTAGACTTTGGTTTGCGTGCCGACCTATCATTTGCTTTAGCTTCTTACCTTGCGTGGCAAGGTATGGGGCGAATAGTTCACTGCATATCTCTCTCTCTATTTATGTGTAAACACCATATCTCTTTCCTTACTACAGCTAGCGTACTTCCCGTCGGAGCAAGCAATGGTGGTCCCTGGGGAACTTGGCATGAGTGGGTCTACTGTTTACCAGGAAGCTAC